ATCTTCTCCTTAGCGGTAAATATCCACTAGTATTCATGCAAGGCAAATTAGGCTTCTCAGTTGTTAGACTGATTGGCGCATTGGGTTAAACCCCTGTGCTGGCAGGACTGAAGACCGACAGGTCACAGGTTCAATTCCAGGGAGAGGCGGATGAGCTCCCTCTATCAGCTCCAGCTCCTCATGCGGGGACATGAGAGAAGCCTCCCACAAGGATGATAAAAACATCAAATCATCCAGGCGTCCCCTGGGCAACGTCCTTGCAGACGGCCAATTCTCTCACACCAGAAGCAACTTGCAGTTTCTCAAGTCGCTCCTGACACGACCAAAAAAAAAAATCTGGTTATCTCTCTGAACTGTTAGGAACAAAGATATACCAATGCACAAAATATGTAGATCTTCAGAAGTGTTATTTCAGTTACCCAAAAACATCTGCTCTCCCATAAAATATATTGCTTTTAAATCATGCTCTCAAGAGACCAAAAATAGGTAGGCTTCATTCAAAGTAACATTGTTCATTTACTTACAAACTGCATGCATTCAGAATACAGATACATTACTTATTGGTTCTGACTACACACTGCAGCATACTGACACTACTGACTTCTAAATTGTACTGGAGTCCCCAGTGGCATAATGAGTTAAACCCTTGTGCTGGCAGAACCGCTGACCGAAAGGTTGGTGGTTGGAATCCAGGGAGCTGGGTGAGCTCCCATCTGTCAGCTCCAGCTTCTCATGTGGGGGCATGAGAGAAGTCTCTCACAAGATTGTGAAACATCTGTGCATCCCCTGGGCAACATCCTTCCAGACATCCAATTATCTGACAGCAGAAGCAACTTGCAGCTTCTCAAGTCGCTCCTGACATGAAAAAAAAAACTGTACTATACTGCTTTTGATGCAAAATGGAGTCTCAGTCTGAATAGTCCCAGATCTGATCACATGGTCTGCAGTCCCTCCCACAACCTCAAACAGCATAGAGTTAAGGGGAAACTGCATATCAAGATATACATACAATATAGTAAGCAATCTGAATTATATACATAATAAATAACTAGTATAGGAGGCTTGTAGAAGGTTGCTATTTCCAACAAATGTAGACCAAGAAAAAGTGTGGTTCTAAACAGCATATTTTAATCAATGTAGAATGGAGGAGGAAAATAAGTGAAACCAACCTAACCTGAAATCTAGCAACATTCAGACCCTTCCATGAAAATATGCCTCACAGGATATCGTATTGACAATCTTAAAATCACTACTTTACAAGAATAACTTGAAAGTGAAACTTCCTTAGTATGAAATTGCTGAATTAGCTTTTATCAGCAGGCTTGATTCATTAGCATTTCATTGATAAGAGGGACTTATCTGCTCCTAGTACAGCTGGTTAAATAAGCAAAGCAGTGCAAAGAAGAGAGTGGCGTCACCCAAAGCAAACTCCAGCATATGACGGCTGTTTTCATCTTGCATGCACTTGAGCTTTGAACAGAAGTGCGCATGAGCTACAGTTCTTGCATTTGAGGGCCTTTCCATCCTTGTATTTACCAACCAAAGCACATGTGGTATAGTGATTTCAGTGTTGACTAGGACTCTAGGAGAATAGGGATTGAATCCTACTTAGTGATGGAAACTCATGAGAACATACTGGGCAAGGCATACCCTTGTCTAAGCCTAGGAATCATAGAGTTGGAAGAGACTTTGTGGGTCATCCAGTCCAACCCGTGCCAAGAAGCAGGAGGGTGGCTCTGAATTGAAAGTCCATAATAACAATACATCTGCCATCTCAAATTGACATTTCTTATATCTAATGAAGCTGAAGGGCAAGTGGAGTTCATGCCTATAGGAAATACTGAAGAAAAAAGCTGGAATTCTTTTGGAGATGCCTGTGGGAAACAGAATTGGGCAGCTCTATAATGTCTACATCCAGTAAAGGGTTGCAATAATGTTACTATGTACATGCAACTTCTGGAACGATTCCATCAGCGCTGCCTCTGGAAAATCCTGCAAATCTCTTGGGAAGACAAGCGGACAAATGTCAGCGTGTTGGAAGAAGCAAAAATCACCAGCACTGAAGTGATGGTCCTCTGCCATCAACTTCACTGGACTGGCCACATTGTCAGGATGCCTGACCACCATCTCTCAAAGCAGTTGCTCTACTCTGAACTCAATAATGGAAAATGGAATGTTGGTGGGCAGGAAAAGAGATTGAAAGATGGGCTCAAAGCCAAACTTAAAAACTCTGGCATAAACACTGGGAACTGGGAAGCCCTGGCCTGTGAGCACTCCAGCTGGAGGTCAGCTGTGACCAGCAATGCTGCAGAATTTGAAGAGGCACAAATGGAGGATGAAAGCGAGAAACATGCCAAGAGGAAGGCGCTGCAAGCCAACCCCAACCAGGACCACCTTCCATCTGGAAACCAATGCCCTCACTGTGGAAGAAGATGCAGATCAAGAATAGGGCTCCATAGTCACCTACAGACCCACCTTAGAAGATTATCCTACTCAGACAATGAGGGATCACCTAAGTAAGTAAGGAGCACCAGCAAAGTGTCTGATACACAATGGGGCAGATACGCATTAGGGCACCAAGTAGGGAGTGCTGACACACGTCAGGACACTAACATGATTCCTTTGCACCTCTGCTATATAGCTGAAAATAAGTACTTGTGCAACACACACCTTGATAATGGATTGCAACCAAATTCCAAAATGCATTATTCATAGCCTGGTGCAAAAATTTAGAATCAAAATAATCCTATCCTGAGTTTACTTGTTTGTCCCAATTAGAGCAGTGGATCAATGGGACTGTCACAGACACTGACTTATTCAGAAATTAATTCAATGAAGCTACTATAGTTAGAATTAGGCATTGGATTTAGATCTTCCGAGCCCAGCAATTTGTTTTGAGTCTAAATTGAGATCGTAGTATTTACAAATAAAAATATATTCCTAATTAACCTAAACTTCTTTAATTTCAGGGTTGCTGTGAGTTTTCCAGGCTGTGTGGCCATGTTCCAAAAGCAGTCTCTCCTGACATTTCGCCCACATCTATGGCAGGCATCCTCAGAGGTTGTAAGTTTTGTTGGAAACTAGGCAAGTGAAGTTTATATATCTGTGGAATAATGTCCAGGGTAGGAGAAAGAACCCTTTAATATTGCAATTGGCTACCTTGATTAGAACTGAATGGCCTTACAGCTTCAAAGCCTGGCTGCTTCTCTACCAGCCTAGTTTCCAACAGACCTCACAACCTCTGAGGATACCTGCCATAGATGTGGGTGAAATGTCAGGAGATAATGCTTCTGGAACATGGCCACACAGCCCAGAAAACTCACAGCAACCCAGTCATTCTAGCCAGGAAAGCCTTCAACAACATATTCTTTAATTTCAGTTGTCCAAAATGATTGTTGTTGATTGCTTTTGTTGCTTTTGTTGTCTGTTTTCAAGTGATTTCTAAGTTATGGCAACCCAATTATAACGATTTTTGGCAAGACTTATTCGGGGCGGGGGGCTATTCTTAACTTCCTCTGAGGCTGAGAGAGTGTGAGTTGCCCACGGTCACCAAGTGGATTTCCAAGGATTTGAAACTTCATGTCTAGTTTTAGTCCAATGCACACATGACCGTAGGGGCCATGGTGGTGCAGCAGGTTAAACAGCTAAGCTGCTGAACTTGCTGACCAGAAAGTCAACAGGTTTGAATCCATGGGATGGGGTGAGCTCTTGTTGTTAATCCCAGCTTCTGCCAACCTAGCAGTTCGAAAACATGCAAATGTGAATAGATCAATAGGTACTGCTCCAGCGGGAAGGTAACAGCACTCCATGCAGTCATGCCAGCCATACGACCTTGGAGGCATCTATGGACAATGTTGGCTCTTCGGCTTAGAAATGAAGATGAGCAGCACCCCCCAGAGTCAGACTCGACTAGAGTTAATGTCAGGAAAACCTTTACCTTTACTAAATTTAAGTAAGCAAGAGTCAGAAAACTTTATTTATTTATTTTATATTTATTTAGCAATTTGTATACTGGTCTTCTCCCCTCTATCGGGGGACTCGGGCTGGTTTCCAACAATAAAATCACAAAACAATAATTAAAAACATCATATAACATATTCAATTAAAACGTTATAATAGCAAAATGCAATCACATAATAACAATGGTCAGTCGTCATAGTGAATTCGTTGTCCATCATTCATCGTCATCTATCCGATCACAGAAATATTGATTCACTCGTCGAAAGCCAAACCCCATAGCCAGGTTTTCACCCATTTTCTGAATGACAGAATGGAGGGGGCAGTTCTGATCTCCAGTGGAGAGAGTTCCAGAGTCGAGGGGCCACCACCGAGAAGGCCCTGTCCCTCGTCCCCACCAGACGCGCCTAACCATGAACCACAACATACGCAAAGCTGAGACAAGCCATACTTATCTCAATTCTTTTTCCCAGCTGCCACAACATTTTTGCTGTTTTTACTTAATGTAGCCAAAGATGCCAAGCCTGCTCTCGACAGGACTTAACTTCACATACATCACAAGAGTATTGGCAAGTGATAATAACATTTTGTCACAGAACACAAGACAAACAGAAGGAATAAGAACAGATGGCACAGCCTTCATCAGACTTGGAATCTAATACATAAGAAAGACGGGAACAGAGTGGGGAGAAGGAAGACAAAAATCCGACTTTGAATCCTTGAATTCAAGGAGTGCAGTTACCAGGTACAAAGGGATCTTTGAGAATGAAAGAAGTTTTCAGTATAAGCCTTCATAAAGTTTGTCTACTTTGATTGAGTTTATGAAAGTTTATGCTTCAAAAGTCTCTCAAAGATGCACAGGCACAGACACGGGAGCTTAAGCGGCTGAGGGGGAAAAGGAAGGGGCCTGAGGCTGTTAGGAATGGTGGGAGTTGCAGTCCAAAACACCTGGAGGGCCCAAGTTTGCCCATGCATGTGCTACAAGATCCCCTTGACCACTGATACAGCCTAAGAGGGCTATCTCTGAATTCACCAAATCTCACCTGGACCAAAAAGTGTCAGGAACCCCATCCTTTCTCGCGCTGTCCTCATGATGTGGATAATGGCCACACCGAAGGGGCTGGATCTGCTGATACTTGTGATGGTGGAGAGACAGCAAGTCGGCACCATACACCTGTGCTCCATTCTTGCTGACACCCAAAGCCATCCAACTTTCAGTTTTTCTAAAAACAGGTGAAGAAATGCAAGATCCAAAAGTTCTTCTTGTCCTACCTGAATCTGTCAACAACCCAAATACAAGGGATTGCAAAAGGAATGAGTTGAAAGTTTCCAGCCTCCTCTAGATGCTTTGCTGGCTGCAAAAAGATGGGATGCTGTGTTGACTTGTTTCAAAAGGAGGTAGAAGAAGAGACCCCAGAGCAAAACATCCCCTTCTTCTGGGGTCAGGCTATAAGTGAAGTCGGGTTGACAGCTCAAGGCAATCTATCTCTCTCCAACCAACCTCCGCAGCGGTGTAGAAATTTGCAGATTCCTCCTCTTTGCAAGAAACCCCAAGTCCACGTGTCACTTTTTCAGCCTCTCTTCCTGTTCGGGTCCTTTTCCAGGAAGTCTCTGCAGCTTGCAAGCAGAGGCAGGCAGGCAGGAGAGCCCACAAGGGACTCTCGAGATAGTTCAATTGTCGGATTCGGGGGGGATTTTGGGGGGCGCAAAGGCGGAGAATGCAAAAAAAGGGAGAGGACCTGGACACAAGCTTGAACCTCTGCCTTGAAGAGCCCAATATAGGGGTTTCCTTCCCTCCAGGAGGGGAGATCTAGAGCTCTACTAGTTGCATCCCTTCAAAGAATCAGAGCAGTTTGTTTGGGGAGGAAAAGCGGCTCGTTTCTTTGTTTCCGTCTCCTTTTTGAATTGAAACAGTTTACACACCGGTGTATCCATTCTCCCCACCCCTCACTGGGGCTTCCCCCATCCCACGTCGAGGAGGAAGTGCTGTGACCCATTTGTAAGACAGAAACACACACACACACAGATTGGTTTCGAAGCAGTCCAAAGTGTCGCTGGACCAGTTCCAATGGAGGAAGCTTATTTGCTCTACTACAGAGACAGACACGCAGGCAGCCAGACAGAAACACAGACATAGACAGACATAGAAAATACAGAGAGAGACACACAGACAGGCTGGATCTGCACTGCCATCTAATCCAGATTATTAAAGCAAATAATCCACATTATCTGGTTTGAATGGGATTATTTATTTATTTACAGGTACAGGGTGAGGCAGCATAACTTCCTTTTTTCGAAACTTAATAAAACATCATAACTCAAAATATGCCAGATGAATTGACGCCAAATTTGTCCACAAGGCACCTACTAACTAACCCAAGGAGAGACCATGACTCAAAATAAATTGATTTTGTCATTTGGGAGTTGTAGTTCCTGGAATTTATAGTTTACTACAGGGTGAGGCAGCATAACTTCCTTTTTTCAAAACATAATAAAACCCTTTGTATGAATCAGAAATATTTATTTATATTTATAATGTAGGCGCATACCTAAAGTTTTGTTTTACATAGTTTTGAAGATCAAATTAGGTAGGTGATGTCCCCCATTCTCTATACACTGAGTAAACCGAGATGTAGAGCCAACCTTCAGAAATGGGGCTACAAAGTGGAATCCACGACATGCGAGTGTGGAGAAGAGCAAATCACTGACCACCTGCTGCAATGCAACCTGAGCCCTGCCACATGCACAATGGAGGACCTTCTTGCAGCAACACCAGAGGCACTTCAAGTGGCCAGCTACTGGTCAAAGGACATTTAATAGAATACCAAGTCTGCAAACTTTGTGTTTTGTTTGTTTGTTGTTTTTTAATGCAATACAACTGTTTTGGTTTGCTCCTGATAAATAAATAAATATTATCAGTATTATATGTGTATACAATATAATTTTAACACAGCACAATATTAGTATTATATATTGCTATATTGTGCTATACCACTATACTGTAATATTATTAGTAATATTAGATGTAATATGAAATATAAAATTATTGTATTATATTATTATTATTATGAGTATTACAATGTATTACATTATAATATTATCAATATTATATGTGTGTACAATATATTATAATATTAACACAGCACAATATTAGCATTATATATTGCTATATTGTTCTATACCACTACACTGTAATATTATTAGTAACATAACATCTAATGTGAGATATAAAATTATTATATTGTATTATTATTAGTATTATATTGTATTACATTATAATATTATTAGCAATATTATATGTGTATACAATATATTATAATATTAGCACAGTACAATATTAGTATTAAATATTACTATATTGTTGCTGGGGGGGGGGGACTCCCAACTGATGACCCAGGAGACATGGTGGAACTCTGTCTTCCTGGCTCCCCTTCTTCACTCTGGCTCCAAAAAAAGCCAATGGGATTTTGGCCTGCATCAATAGGAGCATAGTGTCTAGATCTAGGGAAGTCATGCTACCTCTCTATTCCGCTTGGTTAGACCACACCTGGAATATTGTGTCCAATTCTGGGCACCACAATTCAAGAGAGATATTGACAAGCTGGAATGTGTCCAGAGGAGGGTGACTAAAATGATCAAGGGTCTGGAGAACAAGCCCTATGAGGAGCGCTTAAGGAGCTGGGCATGTTTAGCCTGAAGAAGAGAAGGCTGAGAGGAGATATGATAGCCATGTATAAATATGTGAGAGGAAGCCACAGGGAGGAGGGAGCAAGCTTGTTTTCTGCTTCCTGGAACAATGCTTCAAACTACAAGAAAGGAGATTCCATCTGAACATGAGGAAGAACTTCCTGACTGTCGAGAGCCGTTCAGCAGTGGAACTCTCTGCCTGTGTGGTGGAGGCTCCTTCTTTGGAAGCTTTTAAACAGAGGCTGGATGGCCATCTGTCAGGGGTGATTTGAATGCAATATTCCTGCTTCTTGGCAGGTGGTTGGACTGGATGGCCCACGAGGTCTCTTCCATTCTTTCATTCTATGATTCTATGAAATGGATTTTAACTTAATGTTTTTACTTATTGTGTGATGTTGTGTGTAATTTTGTTTGTATGCTGTTGTTTAAAATAATACCTTCTGAGGTTTTATAAACTAAACTTGTTAAATTGTTTATTATGTATATAATACATAATATACAATTTAACAAAATAACATACTTCCACTTGGGGAATGAATGACACTGCTGCGAGGTTTCAAAAGGGTAGTTGTACTACTGGGTTTCATTAGCGAGCGATTAGGTCAAAGAGGCTACTTCCTTTTAAAGATAGTCAGCTAATTATAGTCAATTACAGAAAACAGGTAAGATCTAATCTGTCGTTTAAACCATGTGGCTGAACTGTCTGCAACTCTGATATCCAAAAGGCTTCCCTCTGTAGTAAAAGCCTTTTTATGTCTCCATGAGGCTTTTTGGTGATCCTTTCTAGAGCACAAAACCTAAAGCTAGTATACAAGTGAGATTTTTCAATGAAATCCGAGTAGAGGATGGAATCTGCAGCTTTATTTTTAATGCGAGAGCAGTGTTCGAGGATTCTAATTTTTAGAGGTCTGTCATCCCTACATAAAGAAGTTCACAAGGACTTATTTATAAAACACCAGAAGATATTATTTCAAACGATTGAAGAAACTTTGAAAGAAACCTGAAGAAAGGGTACTCCTCCTGAAACAAGAACGAAAAACACTCAGGAATCCTTGTAGCATTCCCAAGACTTTTTATCTCATCTTGAACTCACATGGGACTATTTTGGATATGTTAAAGTTTGTCCACACTTTTGGAAGATCCGACTAATTATCTGGAAAACATGAATATTACGTTTGTTACACCATTGTAAATAGTCCCATCACATTTGTTCCCTATGCTTGTATATTTACATTGTACTTATAGACTGAAAAGATTAGGAAGAACTTCCTAAAACTAAGAGCTGTTAGAGAGTGGCATAGGCTGGCTTGGAATGTGATGGAGACTCCTTCTCTGGAGGCTTTCCCTCAGAGACTGTATATCAGGAGTGCTTTGGTTGTAACTTTTTGCACAACCATAGATATCAGTGTAGTTAATAGTTAAACCGAAAGGACAGACAACAGATAGAGGTATATGTTGGCAATTTTCCCAACTTCAGTATTTTGGAGGTTGTGCTCAATTCTGGCCACAGGAGGGTGCTGTCACTCCATCCTCTATGACAAGGAACCTTTGATCATAGACTTCTTCCTTTGATTACCGGCATTTTCTGGTATTTTCTTTTTATATGCTTCCGGCCCAGCTTAGCTGTTCGAACGTATCTCCCTCTACGTTCCACCTCACCATTTAAGATCTATTGGAGAGGCCTTGCTCTCGGTCCCACCGGCCTCGCAAGCGCATCTGGTGGGAATGAGGGACAGGGCCTTCTCGGTGGTAACCCCCCGCTTGTGGAATTCCCACCCTAGCAAGAATAGATTGCCATCCTCCCTCCTTTCCTTTAGGAAAAAAATAATATCGTGGTTTTGGAACCAGGCTTTAGGCGAGTGAGCACAGCAACACCAGGAACTTTGAACTGGATAATTATGATATTTGGAAACAACTTTGTCATGTAATTGAAAACGGCTATGTGTTGTGATGTGACTATTTGATTAATGTTATTTTAAATTGTATATATTTATGCTTTTATATTGTTGTTTATTGATATTGTGGCATTGAATTGTTGCCTATGTTAGCCGCCCTGAGTCCCGTCCCCCCCCCCGGGGGGGATTGAGAAAGGTGAGGTAGAAATGCTGTAAATAAATAAATTTTATGGTGCCATAAAATACCTCCCCGATTAAGCGGTGCCTAATTTCCCTACTCACCGCTTAGAGGGACAGTGAACTAGGCTGAAAATCAGGTGCTCACCCTGACACAGGCTTCAAACCTTTCAATTGGTGTGATCGATTGCTGCTAGTGATTAACGAGCTATGCTAAAACCCGGCCTTATACGGTATAGTCTGGCTTACCTTTCAGTCCTAGATTACATCTGATCTTGGAAGCAAAAGCACGATCAAGCCGTTAGTATCTGCATGGGGGGACTATAAAGAAATACCAGATCAGTGCTTCTTGGACTATGTGATGTAAAGAAATTATCCTGTATGCTATGGAAAGGCCTTTCTTAGTACCCAAAAGACACCAAGGCCCATCTGATCTTGGAAGCTAAGCAGGATCAGCTCTATTAGTATTTGGATTGACAAATGCCAAGAAATACCAGGTGCTGGAGGCATTATTTCAGAGGAAGGAACTGGCAAAACCACTTCTGAGAAAACCCTAATTAATTCACAGGGTCACCATAAAACAATGGGCAACTTGAAAGCACATACATCCAATGTGACAGAGATTGGCACTAAATTTGTTCCCATTGGGTACACAAATCTTTTTCTTCCCCCTGGAAATTTGCCAGGAAAAAGCAAAATTTCTTTTTTCCTTTGAGTAGTACTGCTGTTGGCTATATTTCAAAGGAATACACTGGCAAACTCCCTCTCAATTTTCCCTATGAAAACCTTGTGAAATGTATGGGATTATCATAAGCCAACATGCAACTTGAGGGCACATATGTGTGGAAATATACGCACAGAGAGAATGGAAACATTTTCTTATTTGGAAATTTTAGCAGAAGACATATCTAAGGGGACCACTTCCAGAACAAGAGAAAATGAAGGGATTATTTCTCCTCGCTTACTGCTTTAGGGAGCCCGGATGAGGAACTTGACTCTAGCCTACTTGCTTTCAACAAGAAAGTGGATGCAGGGGAGAATGGAGGGTGAGCCCTGGTACTGCAATAAGTGAGGGAAGCCGGAAACTAAATATAGACTCCCAGTAGAATCTTTGTAAATTATTTATTGTTGTGTCTTCAAGTCATTTCTCAGCCATGACGACTCTAGCACAAGACTTTCTCAGACTCATAGAATCAGAGTTGGAAGAGACCACCCAGTGCCTCAAGGGCCATCCAGTCCAACCCCCTGCCATGCAAGAAAGCACAACCAAAATACTGCCAACAGATGGCCATCCAGCCTGTTTAAAAGCCTGCAAAGGAGCTTTCGCCACACTCCAAGGCAGAGCATTCATTGTTGAACAACTCTCTTGGCAAGATTTGTCCAGAACTGGTTTGTCATTGGTGTCTTTTGAAGCTGGGTGTGGTGGATTTTCCTCCTCTGGAGGTTTTAAAGCAGAGCTGGATTTCCTTCTTTAAAAATTACTTTGAGCATGGGGACAGGTGGGACAAAGGAAGAATATCATTTAAACGACCAATTGTGCCACCCAGAGGTTTCTGGGGGCATCACTTGTTATTTTTTACAATGGGAGGCAGCTGGGGGAAGACATTAGAAAATCCGTAGGCCATACTATGTCACATGTATGCAGGGAAACCAAAAGTGAAATGTATCAAATTCCTTCACCCAATTTATTTATTTAATTTCCCTTGATAATGCTTCCGAGAGTCAGCATGTATAGCGATCAGAGCATTGGATTACAACTCTGGAGACCAAGGTTCAAATCCCTATTCAGCAGTTAAAACCAAATGGATGATTTAGACAAGTCACCCGCTCGATGCCAAAGGAAGGCAAAAGCAAACCCCAGTGAACTTATCTCACCAAGAAAACCTAATTTTTTAAGTCATTAATGGACCAAACAAATAACAAAATCACTACCTTTACATACATGAAGTTAAGGACGTTTGGGATAATCGGGGATAGATTTCTGCTTGTCCTTTTTATTTGTTTATGGGCATGACTGGATTTAGCCTCGTTTCTAAAGGCTCAGTACCATCTGGTTAATTACCAGCAGTAAAACATCTTACCAATCAAAAGGTTGGCAGTTTGAAGCCCAGGTTGGGGTGAGGATTCAACCTTCAGCCCAGCTTACTGTCCACCTAAGTTCAAAAACAGCTATGAGTAGAGAAATTAGACACTGCTTAAGCAGGGAGGTATTCTATAGCACCAGAAAAATACCAGAAAAATGGCAGGAATTATAGGAAGGAGGAAGTCTGTGATCAAGGCTCTTCGTCATAGAGGATGGAGCAACAGGACCCCATGGCCGGAATCAAACACAACCTTCAAGAAGCCGAAGCAGACATAATATTGTCGCAGACATATTGTCGAAGGCTTTATATCTCTTGTCTGTCCTATCTGTTTAATGGCATTGAATGTTTGCAGCGTATGTGATCTGCCCAGAGTCCCCTTCGTGGTAAGAAGGGCGGAATATAAATGCTGTAAATAAATGTATTTCCTTTCCTTTGAATAAGAGAGAGAATACCTCTTAAGATGGTATTGTTCTTCTGCAACACAGCGCACATCTATTTCAGTTAAGAAAAGTAAATATGTTCCTAGGCATTACAACAAAATATTTGGTAGAAGAAATAACATAGGAAAAGGGTGGTGTGGAATAGGTTCTTACACCACACACAAAGCAACTCAACATTTCAAAAACTTTTAATCCGAAACTAGTAATACTCAAATATGAAATAAAAAAACTAGGTCAGAAATTTGTTTAAGATTTTTGAAAAGAAGCTTGACAGAACTTGAAAACTTTTTATAAAATGCATCCAGAGATGATTTTTAATTTCTTCAATCAGTCTCCATTTTGGTTTCCTGAATGCTTTTTGAACATTTAGAAATGGTACTTCATGAGGTAGGCTTATCCACTTTCTCCTTTTCTTTGTTTTGCTGTTAATGCATCCTCTGTAAGCGATTCTGGAGGCAACTGCAAGATTCTGGAGGCAACTGCAATTTACCTTATGCATCGCATGCAGTTACAACAGTCACGGCTGGAGTAGAATCCCTTCCTTTCCCCCAGCTCAGACTTTATTTCATGGCTTACGGCAGACATGCTTCTGCTACGCAACATCAATATCTGTATTTCTTCAATCCTCCTTCACTATCTTCTCAGTGCCAATATTGCTTAAATTTTCCAGTATGCAGCACAACAAAGAACATAAGAGGGGCTTGTGCAAATGTAATAAGACTTCATAAAAAGTAGCCCTTGTAACAAGAAAAGACAGAGAAATGAGGGACCTAACTGCCAACATCCACTGGATAATGGAGGAAGGCAGGGAGTTTCACAAAAACATCCATTTCTGTTTTATTGACTATTCTAAGGCCTTTGACTGTGTGGATCATAATAAATTGTGGCAAGTTCTTGGTGGTATGGGATACCAAGTCACCTTGTCTCTCTCCTGAGGAATCTGTATAACGACCAAGTAGTCACAGTAAGAACTGACCATGGAACAACAGACTAGTTCAAGATAGGGAAAGGAGTACAACAGGGCTGTAGACTCTCACCCAACCTATTCAACTTGTATGCAGAACACATCATGTGATGTGCAGGGCTTGACGAATGTAAGGCTGGAGTTAGAATTGCTGGAAGAAACATTAACAAAAATGAGATATGCAGATGATTCCACTTTGATGGCTGAAAGCGAGGAGGAGCTGAGGAACCTTCTAATAAAGGTGAAAGAAGAAAGTAAAAAAGCTGGGTTGCAGTTGCACATAAAAAAACCAAAGATTCTGGCAACCAGACTGATTGATATCTGGCAAATAGAGGGAGAAAACCAGGAGGCAGTGACAGACTTTGTATTTCTAGGCAACTGAAGTTGCAGACTGCAGCCAGGAAATCAGAAGACGTTTACTTCTTGGGAGGAGAGAAAGGACCAATCTTGATAAAATAGTGAAGAGTAGAGACATTACACTGGGAACGAAGCAAAAGTATTCTCCGGAGTAACCTATGGATGCAAGAGCTGGACCATAAGGAAGGCTGAACGAAGGAAGATCGATGTTTATGAATTATGATGCTGGAGGAAAATTCTGAGAATGCCTTGGACTGCAAGAAGATCACACCACGCCAGGAAATAAAGTCRGGCTGCTCATTGGAGGGAAGGACATTAGAGGCAAAATGAAGTACTTTGGCCACATAATGAGAAGACAGGAAAGCTTGGAGAAGATAATGATGCTGGGGAAAATGGAAGAAAAAAGGAAGTGGGGCCGATCAAGGGCAAGGTGGATGGATGGTATCCTTGAAGTGCCTGGCTTGACCTGAAGGAGCTGGGAGTGGCAATGGCTGACAGGGAGCTCTGGCCTGGGCTGGTCCATGAGGTCACGGAGTTGGAAGCGACTGAATGAATAAACAACAACAACAGCRTTTGTCAAAGGCATTGTTAAAACAGGTATGCATCTATTCACTTTTGACATTATAACCTGCATTTAATGTCTAGTCCTCCAACTAAAGGAGATCCATTAAACTGGTTGATTCACATTAACTCTTGATTTATCGATGTAACAGTTAAAGTTGGGACAAACAACTGGATTTGCACCCATTCTTAAATGCCTGCTGATTTAATTATATCTTTTTTAGATTTATATTAACAAACCGAACACTGTGTTGCAAGACAAGYCGCCCAAATAAATGCTAATTTCAATGTTTATAACAAGTAGAAAGATTTAGGGGGATTTTGCAGAGGCATAAAGAGTGAGACAGCTAAGAACTATTTATTATTTCTGCTAAGAGGAATTTCTTTTGGGGGAAAAAACAAACAAGTGTAAAACACATTGATCAAAGTGTTATTTAATGCTAAGCAGTTAAGAGTGGCAATCTAACATTATGGAGCTAACAAAATTGCAACCATTCATCCATAGCCACCAAATAAGACATTTCTCATGCATATGACAAATTCACTTATGTCGTGAGGGCTGTACTTTCTGTGTACAATATTTTCATAAGTTATGTTTCACAGCCTCCCCCTCTGAGAATAATTCATACTGATTATATTATATTTTGTATATGCAAACTATTTTATATACATGTGAATATAAAGATCCCTAAAAGTACCACTGGGACTACACCCTTGAGCTTTCTGTAAAATGCATAGCTTTCTTTCATACCCTTTTAAATATTTTCTCTCAAGTTACCCAAAAAACTTTACAGGTTAAAGCTGCTTCAGTGTGTGTGATGTTTTAACAAACCCAAATGAAGTAAATCTAAAGGTTTATATTTAAATCACACGTTTGGCTCTTAAATTAATGAGTTAAGCAAGCTAAAAAAAGTTCCAGTCATCTATGAATTCATGGAATAAGCAGTGCTTCAAACACTTAGTAAACTTGTTAAACAGGGCTGCAGTGCAGTATTTTTGGTTCAGAAAAGAAAAAAAAACATGTTACACAAATGACCAACTTCACATTGAAAGCTGAAAAAGAAATATCTTTTCAAGTTTCAGACTGCATTCAGCAGTCTAGAATGGGAAGAAAAGCTGGCCATATCTGAAGAAAGGTTTAGACCCATTTCACTTCCACTGCTTCACTTTAGTCTTTAAAACAAAACAAAACAAAAATCACCAAATTCCAATAGAGAGGGGAACAATGATTTTCGGTTTGTTAAATATGGCTGAATTGCTTGGAAATACGAACTAAAAGCTAACCCATGACACTAAAATAGTGGTGATCAACCTCATGTGTTCACTTCTGCAGCAATTCAAACCATGTGATGTCAGAGCTTCTATCTGAAGGCAGACAGTAAAAGTGTGAATATTTAGCCCTTCAGGCAGCTATCGAACAAGATTACATCTTATACCACCTGACGCATCCAGAAAATCAAGCTACACACAAGCACAGTCACTATTCACAGTAGTCATTGATGGCTATGGGCACAGTCATTAGGAACTGCTCCCAAGTAGCTTCTGCTTGTTTTATGAGGCTGACCTGGAAGACATTCCTGCTGAACTCTGCCCAAAGTTAATTACTCCAACTATCAATCACAGAGGCAAGAGCAAACCTTGCCAGAAGTCAAACAACGGTCAACCATCTGCTCAGCAATCTTGGTTTATCAATAATGTGTCCAAGTGGTTATTCTATTGACTCTCCAAATCAGCAGAGCAGTACTCTAATGTAAGATTTGCAAGGGAGATTTCCTTTGCACCCACAGCTGCCAGGCAAATATATTATATATATAGCTTTGCTACTGCTGATTGCCTCAGAGGCTCTACAGACACTTGTACTGAATGGGTGTTTAGCATGACAATCTTGGAGTTAGCACGGGCAGGGCTTAATACTATCAAGTGGGCAAATGTATCTTGCTTTTAAAACAGTCACACACGCTATGGACTATCCCATACTCTTCAGGAGGCAGCAACACAGCAATTTAACAGGCATGACCTCATGGAATGACAGGGCCTTTAACTCAGGTAGAAATAAACCCTAATACATCACGGTAATTACAACACCCCATGATCGTTATGGAAATTCAACACGGGAGGAAGATTTATAAAACCACAGTCCTATTTATGCAAGCCAACATGTCCCCATCATACATTATAGACCCAGTGTGTTTTCTTCTATGAGAGATATCCCTAACCTGCAACAACACCATTTGTGTCTTTTATATCACCCACCAACAAAGTACTGGGTTTAAGGCTGTAACTGTCACTTCAAACAGTGCATTTACTGCAACTGGTATTCGAAAACGGGACAAGAATAAAAACCCAGATGAAAGAGAACCTAACTACAAAGTGATTTAGCAATGCCTTGTTTCAACTATTTTGGTCACTCTGGAAAATTAGAAAAGGAAATGCCTTTATTGTCAGCAATATCTGTGAGAGAACTAGACCCATCATAAATATAACATTCAGCCCCATATAAATAAGTCACCAAGGTGTGAAAAGCAGAGGGAAATATCTTCAATTACAGCTTACAAGCTTTCTATGCTATATACTATGCAGAAAAACAACATTGCCATGAGGTTTACAAAATGATCACTTCAACCAATTGCTAGTTTATAAATAGGGAATGCATGTTTGGCTATAAATTAACACAGAAAATCGTCAATGTTCAAGTGAGAAACAGGTTAAGTTTAACTGGAGAGTTACCAAGAGCATAACATTACTTCACTGACCACCAAAATGTTTTTCAGTAGCCAGACGTTATTAACCTGCAGCACAGTATTTAAAAAAAGGTTTGTTTTTGCTAAAATGTATGACAGTGCATAGCCTAAGTCAGATGGTCAAAGTGATATAATGCTTCCAATGCTAATTTGCTGCATTTAAAAAGGGACACGCCTCCCTTTAAGTATGCTTGCCAAGGAAAAAAGAAAAAAAAAGAACACACAACCAAATTGCAAAGTCCTGAACTGTAGTAAAAATATTTCAGTCACAGACTGATTAAAATTGTGTACAACTGTGCAGTTCCGAGGTCTAGTGTCCACCTGCACATTTTACTTGGGTTCCTCAATTGTCCCCTTGCTGAGGTCTGTCATTTTTGGGTATTTTACTTTCTTCTGGTCTAACTCATTCTGAGCCCACAGTAGTAACTTCAGTAATTTGGCCAGCTTGGGTGTTGACTCGCGGTTTTCATAGTCTAGAACAGCTTGGTTAACTTCACTCCATACCTAAAAAGAAAGAGAGGGAAGTAAACAATTAGGTTGGAAAAACAAAACCATGTCAGGAATGCATGGTTTTGATCAAAAGTACAAAATTATTCTCAATCATGATCCTGAGCCGCTGAATCTTGCTTTGTCTAAAAAAAAAACAGGAACAAAAATATTGTTGCAAAGCTATAGAATGCTGCAATGCATTCTGTAACTAACAGATAAGTAGTCTTTGGTCATGCAAAGGCACTAAATCAGGCAAGGGCAAACTTGGGCCCTCCAGGTGTTTTGGACTTGGGTTTAAGTAGCTGAGGGGGGAAAGGATGGGCCCTGAGGCTGTTAGGAATTGTGGGAGTTGAAGTCCAAAACACCTGGAGGTCCCAAGTTTGCCCATGGCTGCACTAAATGGTCATATTCATGACTCCAGCCTTCTTTCCCCTAAGATAGTACTGGGAAATGTGAGGCATTCCAGATGCTGAAGAATGCAATGCCTAGTGTTCCTCAGATGATACAACATAATCAACAACAAATTATTGTCTGTCTCTCCTTGAGGCTTAAGGTAGGCTCAAATGCCAACATCTGGAGGGACAACAATCCTTACCTACAAGTTTTAAAATCTCATACAAGATGGAGCTTCAAATCAAGCATGCATTTGGTTGACTAAAGATGGACACTTCTTTCAAAGCTGTATTTTAAGGTGACACTGCCTGGTCAGATAAGGTTTGTGAATTGATTAAAATGAGTAAATGACTAACATGAATGTCAGTATGATCACAACATATACACACACACACACACACACACACACACACATAACTTAGTAGTAATTACAAGGCCTGGGTAACAACGGAAAAATTTGTTTCTAAAATCGATTTGTATTTGGGGGGGTTTTTTGTTTCGATATTTAAAATAATTACAAAATTTTCCTTTTAAAAAGTTCGATATTTACGAAATTTCGTAAATGGTAAAAAATTAACGAATCGATTTCCGAAACAATAACGAATCGATTCGTTAATGGCGGGCGCGACCGCGAAATACGCTAAAAAACCTCCAAAACCTTCTGAAGCTTCCCTCTCCCTGTTGTTGACTGTTGGTGTGATATTATAATTTTTTTTCACTAATTAAACCATAAAACTGGCCCAGACATGCGGAAATAATAACGAAACGACCTCAAAAAAATAACGAAACGAATACAATATCGAAATACGAAGCATTTACAAAACGTTTTTGAAAATTCGTTTTTTTTAATAATTGCTCCAGAATGGTTCGTTATCGTTTTGTAATTGAAAAAATTAACGAATTATTAACGAATTACGAATTAACGAAACAAAACCGCCTAGCCCTAATATATACATACACACACACACACACACTTTTTAAGATTAAGAAGTGACAAATAACTCTATAACAGCAGAAAAGCAGTAAGGAATATTTTCCACATCACTCCTTATCAAACCAAACATTCCGAAGAAAAACTAAAACCAAAATTTCCATGAAATGTATTTAAAAGACTAAATTCTCAAGAAGACGATTAAGTTATTTTCTTTATAACATCATAAAGACAAATCTTATGGTGTCTTTGTAGGAATCATGCGATATAGCTCTAAGGCTCCTTCTTCACTGCCGGTTTCTGATCCCAGATTTTCTGCTTTGAACTGTATTATATGGCAGTGTAGACTTATATAATCCAGTTCATAGCAGATAATCTGGGATCAGATACTGGATTATATGACAGTGTAGATCCAACCTAACCCAGAATAAATAAGACCATTACTTTCTGTCTCTGCATCATGTTGAGCAGATCGCCAAAAGGTGATTCCTCGGGGTTATCAAAAGCAAGGAGTGCAAGAGTGCGCTCCATTTCCGTCAGGCATTCCCGGCTCTCCTCTCCTTGTTCTGCCAGCTGTGTCTGAGCAAATTCCAGTGCAGCTTCTGTTTCACGCTGCCGAATCAACTCAATTAAATGTTGTTGCTGCACAGGGGAAACACAACCATGTAAATAAACAATTAGACAATAGCAAGCAATATCGCACAGTGCAAAAGTTTCTGTCACACATTTTAAGCTCATACTGTTTTAAAACCTTCAAAATACAAAAAAAAAAAAGCCCTATTAAACTTGTCAGAGTTCCAAGTTGCAAAATCAAACTTCAGATCACCAAATCTATGAATTTATCATTTTAAGGCTCACTCATTATTCCTATGCCAGAAAGCAAATTTTAAAAACTAAAACACTCAAGGAAATAGTTGGATAAACACTCACAACTACATTTAGTATTCATTACTTTCAAAATACCTAAAGGTTTCATGTAGAAACAGGGTGAGGACTCTCATCCTTTTGCAGGATAAATACAATAAATGTTTTAAGATTTTAATATTTTTTTTAAAAAAGAAAATACTAAAATTTGCCCTAATGTCTAAATGTAAGGCCAGCAAGAAAAGGGACATGCTACACAGTTTGTGAACCACACTGTCGGTTAAGTCTATATGAGGCCAAGCGTTATTACAAATACATAGTGTATACTGAGTGACAAAAAGTAATGCCTTCTAATACAAAACTTTTGTAAATTCTAATTGGTTTCAAAAGCAATCAGTGATTATTTAAATACAAATCTTACCTGTAAATGGAAGTAAAGATACCGGTTTGTGTCCAACAATTCCGGGTGAAGACTATTGATTAACGCAATAGCTTCCTGAATCTGGCCTTTGAGAATCATCTCTCGGATTTTTATTCTTTCATCCAAGGTTTCTAAATCAACACTGGGCTCAATTCCAGATTCCATTCGAAACTTCTCTGCTGCTTCTTTAAAACCTTCTGAAATTCCAAATGGGAAAAAATAATAATTGAATGCATCAAGACATTTTAACATGTGCACTGCCCCTCCCTGATACAACATATTTTAGGCAAAAATCTGTTGTTTTATGTAATGGAGGGACAGGTGTGGCCCCATGAGAGCCTTGGGTCTGGAAAAATGTGTGTCTACACATTTTTCTCTAGAGCTGCTGCTATAACTGCAGTTCTTTAAAGAATCCATTCTGGCCCAGCTACATAAGTCTGAATGAGGCAGCACATCTTCAGATGGCCAAACACCAATTAAAGCTCCAGACCATGGGGAAGAACTTCTGAAATATCTGCTTATCACCCTCCAGACAAGTGTGGGCAGCTGTAAGAAGCTGAGGGCAATTTTTCTATCCTAAATTCTTGAAATGAAGCAAAAATACGTTGTTTAACCTCAACTTATTAAAAAAATCCACATTATTTTTCCGCAATGGCACAATGTGTTAGACTCTTGTGCCGGCTGAACTGCTGACCTGGACGTCAGCGGTTTGAATCTACAAGATGGGACGAGCTCCCGTCTATCAGCTCCAGTTTCCCATGCGGGAACATGAGAGAAGCCTCCCATAAGGATGGTAACTCACCCAGGTGTCCCCTGGGCAACATCCTTGCAGACGGCCAATTCTCTCACACCAGAAGCGACTTGTTGTTTCTCAAGTCGCTTCTGACACACACAAAAACCCAGTTTGAAGGAGAAACAGAGGTAAAACAAGGTATTTTAGAGAAGGATTTTTGTGTATGTATATACATGTTTTTAAATATATGCACATATTTGAGAATGCGTTGGGTGCAATTTTTGGCTAAAAATCACACCAACACTTAAAACTTCAGGGTATTCAGGGGACATTGGGGGACTGGTGGGGTATTTCAAGGTCTACAAAGGGGTCCAGAAACTGCATTTCAAACAGGCTATATTTTGCCTAAGTCCTGCTTTAAATGGTCCTTCTACTGAAGTGTTTCAACTCACAATACTTCAAGGAGAAAATCACCAAATTAATTAAGTAAATATGTTTAATGTTTTATCAATCCAAGTATCCTGATGAATAACATGGCGGTAATTAAATGACCTTTGCTACTATTTTACTATAGTTAATACTATTAACATATTTTTGCTATGCATGACAGGTTGAGGACAGTACAGAACTATAACAGGGGTATTAAGAGTTGAAAGTTTGGTTTGCTGACTTCAGATCATTGATTGTAGTGATAAATTATTTTAATTTATGGCTGATTACCTGTAACAAGATAGTTCATAATCAAGCGATTCATGTCAGCTCTCTGGATGTGTAAATTATTGAGTTTTTCCATCCACTCGTCTTTTGTGATTTCATCGGGTTTTTCTGCATAACTCATTCTTCTCCCTCACTAGTAAGAAAAAAAAGGCATACTAAGAAATGACTTTTTCAGAATAATGAAAAAAATACTGTGTAACTGTCTCTGATAGCTTTTTGTCATTTAGTAAAAACAACAAGTACAGTGAATAGAAATGTCTCAAACAAGCAGATGTACTCACATTCTTCCCAGTATGACTGAGGAAATATTAACTAAGCTTCAAAGTTGACATGCAGAACTTCTCAAGCTATTAGCAGGGATTTTTAGCAATTTATGCCCTAGTATGATCGTATTCACACATTTTTGGAAAGTAGTATTCTTGTAGCATACACAATTTTACTTCCATGCTTGTACTATATTCTCATGGTTCTGAAAACGTTTAAACTACAAAACTGATAAAATGTAAGAGTAATCTGGTATAATATCAGACATTTGAAAAGTTAGATGGCTATCATTTTAGATACAGAATAACAGGAGGCAGAACAATCCAAAGCATGCCATTTCTATATTATCCTTCTATAGATAGCTTTTAAAATATACCAGGAAATAAGAGCCAGATTCATAAATAGGTCTGACCAAAATCCCACTTGCATTTCAGTTACTGCCATGCCACTTTCAACTTAAAACTTATTTTGTACAATTCATTCACCTTCCAGATACGACTGCAAAACTATGGACTGGATTTATATAAAGCACCAAATCATATCAGGAAACTAATTGCCCACCCTGAACAAGAACATATCAATATCACAGGCCTTAAGCTGGCTGGCATAAAATGCTTTGTTTATACTGCACCACAATCTAAAAGATGTAGTTAGCAGCTACTGATCATAAAACTGAGAAACAGGTACTATAGCACTCATTCCGTAAGAGCCTAAATACATGGTTATTCGAGAAGGCATTTAACTAAGTGCTATAATAACAGACAATGACGACTGGAACGGAATATGGATTATGAGATTGGTTATGATTCTACTATGAGACGGAGCGGATTATTTTAGTGTAATTATATTGTTAGTGTATTATTGATAGTTAGGATGATATTTCGTTGTGTTAGTGCTTTATTGTAAATTTGTCTTTTATATGTTGTACACCGCCGTGAGTCGCCCTAGGGCTGAGAACGGCGGTCAACAAATGCAGCAAATAAAATAAATAAATAAATAAAGCATTGTGCCCAGTCTCATTCTGACACCAGCATTACTGGTCCTGATTTCATCAATTTCACTGTGTTGGAGGAAGCAGAAATGCCTCTTTTTAGGCAGGGGCTATCCCCCCCCCCCCCCCCCCCCCCCCCCCGGAACCATCTGCTCACATCCACTTTTGTACAAAGGCTCCTACAGACCTAGGACAGGGCAAAAACAAACAAAATGGCCAGCCACACCTCCCCAAGAAGGAATAATTGAGCCTTTCTAAGGACACTTACTGAGACTATGTGGCAAAGGCAAGATCTGACTTTCTGGTTCACACCTCATTCTCTATCTATTGGTACACATTACTAATTAAGCAAATTACTGTGAATACACCTGGAATCTGCTTGCACATCTTGTCTTCAGAAGATTTAACCTGTGATCATATAAAGCCAAATTGTTCGAATTTTTTTAAGTGTTTGGAAAAATGGGAATTGTGGGAATTGATGTTTTGCTATGGAAGGTGAAAATATGAAAAACATTTATGATTTTTTATTTCATGTATAAATAAGTATAAAACTGATAAAACTAATAAACTATAGGGAGCACGAACAGCTAAATAATTTTTGACAAAAAATGGGCAACAGTGACCGCATTGTCTGTTGCTTCGAAGCTACATTTATGAAAGTGAACATAGGTTATGAAATATAACACAGGTCATCCAGTGATATTAACTGGTGGTACCATAATGCATAATAAATCTGTGAAGTCCACTCTCACAGTATGTGGTGTTAACCACATCACAAATAACTGAAGGATAGGACTATGTAACTGGAGATAAACCTACAATGTCCCTAACTTAACCGTTAGAATACAAAATTGGAAAGACAAGGGTCATTAAGTCCAACCCCATTCTGCCATGCAAGAATACACAATCAAAGCACTCCAATAGATGACCATCTAGTTTGTTTAAAAACCTCAGAATATAAACTTGGAATGCACAGTTTTGATGAAATGAAATATGTCTCTGAATTAAAAGAATGAATAGATACAACCTTCAGCAAACTAATTTACTCAAGTCAGACTCCCACATTAAAACAAGGTTGTAATATTTAGCTGAACTGAAGTTTCTTTTAACTCAGTGGAACTTAACTAACACAAACGTGAATACACATTAGGTTCACTGGCCAAAAAACCAGCTTGAGATAATGCTTGGCTTGCCCATGACAATCAATAATACTGATCCAAATCTACTGTTGTAGCTTTCTTGGAAGAATGAGTGTAGCAAATAACTTTTCCTTCCTGTGTCTTTCTTGAGGAACTCAGCCACATTTCTTAAATTGTCCCATGCAAAGTTAGATATCCATTCCCTTACACACTCCTTGGTAATAATATGTCTGTGCAAATTTTGCTTGACCTCAAAAGCTAATGAAAGGCTACATGCCTGAACAGAAAAAGTAAACCAACAGGAACCGTCCTGCAGAAATTATCTCTTGCTGTAGTTAATAATTATGAACTCATCAGGAACTCTTCATATCAAAACAATCTGTCGCTATGATTAGCTAAAAGAAATTGTTTGGAAGACTCTTGTTATTCCTTCTTCTACTTGGTAGCTAAATAACATAACATCAAGAGTGTTAAGAACTCTTAAGATTTAAAGCTGTTTTAGTCTGTGTTCATATTCAAACAACAATATTTCTAGCAAAGAGAACATCTGGAATTCATTTAAATAACAAGTGGCATTGGCATTAACCTTTTCATTGCATGGATTTCAAATATATAATAATTTTATATATAATAATTTTTAAAAACTAACTGATGGATGAAAATCTACTTATAGTTAGTCCGATACATTAAAAAAAGGAGGGGCAAACAAACTTGCAGAGTCCAAGCAGCCCAAACTAAGAAGGCTTTAATGTCCTATGTAGGGCACGCAGGGAAGTTTGGTGAGGCACAGACTCTGGGGCGCATATGAAAAAATAAAAGGTGGGAGACAGTTCAGCTCTGTTGCTAGAGCTACAGACAGAGTATCCCTTATCTGGAAGCTGCTCCAGAATCATCCACAGATGTGGCTGAGGTCGTGACACCTTTGTTTTCTGTTGGTTCACTGTATATGAATTTTGTGTTCCGATTTGGGCCACACCTCCAAGATTATATATTTAATATATGTACATATTAATTTTTTTAATAAGAACCTGAAATCCTGCATTGTTTTATCCTGCCTGAATCCAGCTTTTAACTGTTGGATTTTACAGTGTTTTGCATAGATGCTTGTTAGATGTTGTTTCTGTCAGTGTAAATGCATATGACAATTGATCGGAGCATTAATAAATTGATTGACTGATTGAAATCCCAAACACTTCTGACCCCAAGCATTTCAGTTAAGGGATACTCAATCTCTTGATAGGTAGCACAGCCTAATCAAGGGCTATTGTGAGAATGAAGTTATTATTTATTTAAGAAATTTATATCCCACCTTTCCCCACTTAAGGGCCTAAGGCGGCTTACAGCGGATATAAACATGCATAAAAGTTAAATAATTTAAAACCAAGTATTAATTGTTGCTGTCATACGTTTGAAAACATACATTAAACTATAATATTTTGGACTATTTCATGATTATAGATAAAAGCCACCTGTCCACAAATGTCAACATCGACACCGAAATACAACACCGCCTGAGCTCTGCGAGTGCAGCATTTTTCCGAATGAATCAGAGTGTTTGAGGGCCGGGATATCCATAGGGATACCAAGGTGCTTGTTTATAAAGCTATTGTCCTCCCAACCCTGCTATATGCCTGCGAAACGTGGACTGTCTACAGACGTCACATGCAACTTCTGGAATGATTCCATCAGCACTGCCTCTGGAAAATCCTGCAAATCTCTTGGAAAGACAAGCGGACAAATGTCAGAGTGTTGGAAGAAGCAAAGACCACAAGCATTGAAGCAATGGTCCTCCGCCATCAACTCGCTGGACCGGCCACGTTGTCCGGATGCCTGACCACCATCTCTCAAAGCAGTTCCTCTACTCCGAACTCAAGAGCGGAAACCTGAATGTTGGCGAGCAGGAAAAGAGATTGAAAGATGGGCTCAAAGCCAACCTTAAAAACTCTGCCATAGACACTGAGAACTGGGAAGCCCTGGCCTGTGAGTGCTCCAGCTGGAGGTCAGCTGTGACTAGCAGTGCTACAGAATTTGAAGAGGCACGAATGGAGGGCGAAAGAGAGAAATGTGCTAAGAGGAAGGCGCATCAAGCCAAGCCCAACCGGGACCACATTCCACCTGGAAACCAATGCCCTCACTGCGGGAGACGATGCGGATCATGAAAAGGGCTCCATAGTCACCTACAGACCCACCCTGGAGGATTATCCTACTCGGACAACGAGGGATCGCCTAAGTAAGTATAGATAAGAGATTCCCTGCTATTATTTTGAACTTGTATAGCAAACGTGCTCTCATGGTATAATAGTTTGAGTGTTGAACTCTGTGGTATTCAGAGAAGTTGAGCATAAAGGTGGTTACCAGCAGCTTGGTGTATTGGTTGCTAAACAATTTGTGAGTTGTAAAGATGCAATCATAGTTTTCAAAGGACACCAAAATACAGAGTAGGTATCACTAGAACAACTTGTGTTTGGCTGAAAACTTCTTGCTATGCTAATTCACAGAGGAAAACGTCTTGATGACCCACACGATCTCTGCGATCATCTGGAGAGGCCCTTCTCTCGCTCCCACCTCTTCGCAGGCGCAATTGGTGGGGACGAGGGAGAGGGCCTTCTCAGTGGTGGCCCCCCGACACTGGAACTCACTCCCCAAGGACATCAGACATGCCCCAACTCTGGCAGTCTGTAGGAGCCTGAAAATGTGGTTGTTCCAGTCTGCCTTCCCAGAATAAGGAAAACTCTCAGGAATATGCCCTCTAAATGCACTTTACCACTGATTTAGGACTGACTGTGTTCCCTCAACTTTCCTTGAAAGCCCTATAGCAGTCATATCCTACCTTGTTCATTCCCAACATTATTTTTTTTACATACTAAACTATTACATTTGGCCCGGCCATAGGTTTTTTTAAATGCTTGTGTTACTGTTTACTGTTTATGTGATTTATATTAATTGTATTGTATTGATTGTTTTTGTTATTGCTTTTGTTATTGATGTACAGTGGGCTTGGCCTCATGTAAGCCGCACCTAGTACCTTGGGAGATACAGAGAGGTCAACCCTCCTGTTCAAGGAGCTCCATTGGCTGCTGTTTATTTTCCGGTCCCAATTCAAGGTGCAGGTGCTTACCTACAAAGCCCTAAATGGTTTGGGACCTGCCTACCTGCATGACCGCATCTCCGTTTATGAACCCACGCATTCTCTTCATTCTTCTGGAGAGGCCCTGCTCGCGATCCCACCTGCATCGCAGGCGCGTCTGGTGGGGACGAGGGACAGGGCCTTTTCTGTGGTGGCCCCTTGACTTTGGAATTCCCTCCCCAAGGACATCAGACAAGCCCCTACACTGGCAGTCTTTAGGAAGTGTTTGAAGACCTGGGTGTTCCGGTGTGCCTTTCCAGAATAGGAACCCCAGCAATATGTCCCAGAAGCACTTTATCAGAGATTTAAGATCCTGCACATTGCACTTACCCTAAAATCCTACATTTCACCTGCCATACTCAGCACTTTTTAATCTGTACCCATTACATTCGGCCTGGTCCTAGCTTTACTGTGTTGCAGTGTATTGTTTGTATTGTTTACTGTTATTGCTTAACGTTTTGATTTGCTTTATAATGTTATGTGTATTGTTATGCTATTGTTTTTATTGAGGCCTTGGCCTTTGTAAGCAGCATCGAGTCCTTTGGGAGATGTTAGCGGGGTACAAATAAAGTTAATAATAATAATACAAATAAAGTTTTATTATTATTATTATTATTATTATTATTATTATTATTATTATTGATAATAAAGGAAATAAGAAAGAAAGCAGAAAGAAACTTCTGCCAATTGTGGAAACTATTGTCCTCTGTGGCCGACAAGAACTGGTTTAAAGAGAGCGCAATTATTCGGGACAGGACATGTTGCCCGTGAAGAACCTTTGCACAATGATGGCAATTTCAGGGCCAACTTGGGCCTTCCTTCCAGGTGTTTTGGACTGCAACTCCCACCATTCCTAACAGCCTCAGGCCCTTTCCTTTTCCCCCTCAGCCGCTTTCCCTTCTCCCTCTTCCCCCTCTCCTTTCCTTCCCCCTTCCCATCCTTCCTGCTTTTCCCCCTCCCTTTTCTCCCCTTCCTTCCTGCTTTCCCCTCTCTCCCTTTCCCTCTCACCTTTCCCTTCTCCACCTTTGCATCCTTCCTGCGTTTCCCTCACCCCTTTCTCCCCTTCCTTCCTGCTTACTCCTCTCTTCTTTCACCCTTTACTTCCTACTTCCCTCTCTACCCTTCTCTCCCATTTCCCCTCTAATTTCTCTTGCCTTTATCCCCGTCCTACTTCCCCCCTCTCCCTTTCCCATTTCCCCTCTCTCCTCCCTGATTCCTCTCTCTTCCTCCCCTTCCTTCCTGCTTCCCCCTTTCTTTCTCTCTCTCTTTCCTACTTTCCCCTCTCTCTCCTTCCTTCCTGCTTTCCCCCTCTCCCTTTTCCCATCTCTCCCCTTCCTTCCCGATATCAGAGCTCCTAGTGGCACAATGGGTTAAACCCTTGTGCTGGCAGGACTGCTGACCGAAAGGTCGGTGGTTCGAATCCGGGGAGCGGGGTGAGCTCCCATCTGTCCGCTCCAGCTCCTCTTGGCGGGGACATGAAATAAGCCTCCCACGGGATGATAAAACATCCAAGCGTCCCCTGGGCAACATCCTTGCAGATGGCCAGTTCTCTCACACCAGAAGCGACTTGCAGTTTCTGAAAGAAAAATAATCCTTCCCGATTCCCCCTCTCTCTCCTTCCTTCCTGGTTTCCCCTCTTCCCATCCTTCCTACTTCCCCCTCTCCCCTTTTTTTCCTTTCACAACTGCGGCTGGGAGTTGAAGTCCAAAACACCAGGAGGGAAGGCCCAAGTTGGCCCATGCCTGCTAGAACCGATGGCCTGTTGAAGGAGTGCAACAAGAAGTGTTATGGACAGAATACAACACGAGCCCAGCGTGAAGAGGCCCAAGGAGTGTGAAAGCCGAGGCCTTCGCCTCTCGCCATCCGCGCTAGGCCCGCCCCTCGAAGCCAGGCCAAGCAGGCCTCACGCGGCACCCAAGATGGCGCCTCCCCGCCCTCCGCCCACTCGCCGGCGCCTCCTTCGGCCGCTTCTCGGCCTGGCTGAGGGAAGGCCGCCGCCACAGACCCCTCCGCCTCCTTCCCACCCACCCACGGAGGACGCTTCCCCTTCCTCGTGGGCGCCGCCACGGACTCACCCGCCCAAAGTCACCGTCTTCGCCGTCGTTTCGCCGCCGCCGCCGCCGGGACCTCGACGCCACGCCCCCTTTTTTCCACAAGCCCCGTTTTCTCGCGAGAACTCGGCCCGGGCCTCTCCGCCAATCGGAGGGGAAGGTCGCGGGAACCCGACGCGCGAGGGGAGGGACTTCCGGAACACGATTGGCCTTCCGGTTGTCTGTTAGCAATGGCGAAGAGAGGCCCAGGGTGAATGGCATTGGAATGTAATAATACTAATATTTATATATATAATAGGAATAGATAAAGGTTTTCCCCCTGACATTAAGTCCAGTCGTCTCTGGTTGCTTCTGGATCACCACTGGAGAAATTACACTGCTTAGCCAGTATTGTACCACCTGAGCAGCCAATAGTGAAAGGACCAAGGCAGAGACATCTCCAGCTCATCCCCTGTTTGGGTATCAGCCAGCACGTCAAAGACTTAAATCTAGAAATAGTTTTCTAAGATCTACGGAGACACTTGCTGGAACACCTCAGCAAGCGAGAGTCCAAAAGTGGCAGGCTTAAACCCAGAACCTCAACCAATGACTGATACAAGATGAGAGACTCCCCGCTGGGCACACAGAAGACTGGGCGACTTGGAAGGCGCTGAACAGACTGCGCTCTGGCACCACAAGATGCAGAGCCAATCTTAAGAAATGGGGCCACAAAGTGGAATCCTCAGCATGCGAGTGCTGAGAAGAGCAAACCACTGACCACCTACTGCAATGCACCCTGAGCCCTGCCACATGCACAATGGAGAATCTCCTTGCGGCAACACCAGAGGCACTCCAAGTGGCCAGATACTGGTCAAAGGACATTTAACCAACTACCAAATTTGCAAAATCTGTGTGTTTTTTTTTCTTTTTAACCTGTGTGTTTGTTTTGCTCTGTTAGAATTGTAATACAATGGTATGGTTGCTGATGACACGATAAATAAATAAGCCCAGTCGTGTCCAACTCTAGGGGGTAGTGCTCATCTCTGCTTCTAAGCCAAAGAGCCGGCGTTGTCCGTAGACGCCTCCAAAGTCATGTGGCCGGCATGACTGCATGGAGTGCCGTTATTATAATAGTAATGATGTTGCTCTGGCCAGAATGAAGACAGAAGGGAGCAGAAGACATTTCCTTCTTATCTTTACTGATAATATAATATAGTATATTGTATATAAATATAATATTTATAATATTATAATGTAATACAATATAAGAAAAAGGTTGTCCCCTGATATTAAGTCCAGTCATGTCTGAATCTGAGGTGTGGTGTTCATCTCCATTTCTAAGCCAAAGAGCCGGCGTTGTCCGTAGACACCTCCAAGGTCATGTGGCCAGCATGACTGCATGGAGCGCCGTTACCATGTCCTTCACTCAAAAAATTGATTTTGTCATTTGGGAGTTGTAGTTGCTGGGATTTATAATTCACCTACAATGAAAGAGCATTCTGGAAGACTATCCTACTCGGCCAACGAGGGATCGCCTAACTGAACTGAACTGAACAGTTTGAGGGCCTGTGACCTGGCCCTCTGTTTAAAAAGTTTGAGGACCTCTGATGTAGGGAGAGCAACCCAAGATGGAGGGATGGCATCCTTGAAGGGACTGGCTTGACCTTGAAGGAGCTGGGGATGGTGACGGCCGACAGGGAGCTCTGGAGTGGGCTGGTCCATGAGGTCACAAAGAGTCAGAAGCAACTGAACGAATAAACAACAACAAAATATAATAATGTATTGTCAAAGGCCGGAATCACTGGGTTGTTGTAGGTTTTTTCGGGCTATATGGCCATGTTCTGAAGGCATTTTCTCCTGACGTTTCGCCTGCATCTATGGCAAGCATTCTCTGAGGTAGTGAGGTCTGTTGGAACTAGGAAAAAGGGTTTATATATCAGCCATCGGGGGCCCCCGGTGGCGCACTGGGTTAAAGCACTGAGCTGCTGAGCTTGTTGACCAAAAGGTCGCAGGTTCGATTCCGGGGAGCGGCGTGAGCTTCCGCTGTCAGCCCTAGCTTCTGCCAATCTAGCAGTTCGAAAACATGCAAATGTGAGTAGATCAATAGGTACCGCTCCGGCGGGAAGGTAACGGCGATCCATGTGGTCATGCTGGCCACATGACCTTGGAGGTGTCTATGGACAACGCTGGCTCTTCGGCTTAGAAATGGAGATGAGCACCACACCCCAGAGTCAGACATGACTGGACTTAATGTCAGGGGACAACCTTTACCTTTTTTATAGCAGAGCACCTGATGAACCAACCTGGACACAGCATATTATTTGAGAACACAGAAATGCTGGACCACTCTCACAACCACCATGTCAGACTACACAGAGAAGCCATTGAAATCCACAAGCATGTGGACAATTTCAACAGAAAGGAAGAAAGCATGAAAATGAACAAAATCTGGCTACCAGTATTAAAAAACTCTAAAATTACAACAGCACAACAACAGAGAGGAAACAAACAAGGACATCTAATCACCTCTCAACAAAAGTTTGCTCTAGGCAATGTCAGGCCATTATATGCTAATCAAGGTGGTCAGTTGAAACATTCACACCTAGCTCCAGCAGACAAGAGTCCTTTGTCTCACCCTGGTCATTCCACAGATATATAAACCCATTTTCCTACTTCCAACGGACCTCACTACCTCTGAGGATGCTTGCCATTGTTGTTCATTCGTTCAGTCATCTCCGACTCTTCGTGACCTCATGGACCAGCCCACGTCAGAGCTCCCTGTCGGCCGTCACCACCCCCAGCTCCTTCAAGGTCAGTCCAGTCACTTCAAGGATGCCATCCATCCATCTTGCCCTTGGTTGGCCCCTCTTCCTTTTTCCTTCCACTTTCCCCAGCATAATTGTCTTCTCTAGGCTTTGCTGTCTCCTCATGATGTGGCCAAAGTACTTCAACTTTGTCTCTAGTATCCTTCCCTCCAATGAGCAGTCGGGCTTTATTTCCTGGAGGATGGACTGGTTGGATCTTCTCGCAGTCCAAGGCACTCTCAGAACTTTCCTCCAGCGCCACAGTTCAAAAGCATCTATCTTCCTTCGTTCAGCCTTCCCTAAGGTCCAGCTCTCACATCCGTAGGTGACTACAGGGAATACCATGGCTTTGACTAGGCGGATCTTTGTTGCCAGTGTGATGTCTCTACTCTTCACTATTTTATCGAGACTGGACATTGCTCTCCTCCCAAGAAGTAAGCGTCTTCTGATTTCCTGGCCACAGTCTGCATCTGCAGTAATCTTTGCACCTAGAAATACAAAGTCTGTCACGGCCTCCACATTTTCTCCCTCTATTTCCAGTTGTCAATCATTCTTGTTGCCATAATCTTGGTTTTTTTGACGTTTAGCTGCAACCCAGCTTTTGCGCTTTCTTCTTTCACCTTGATTAGAAGGCTCCTCAGCTCCTCCTCGCTTTCGGCCATCAGAGTGGTGTCATCTGCATATCTGACGTTGTTAATGTTTCTTCCAGCAATTTTCACCCCAGCTTTGCATTCATCAAGCCCCGCACATCGCATGATGTGTTCTGCATACAAGTTAAAAAGGTTCGGTGAGAGTATGCAGCCTTGCCGTACGCCTTTCCCAATCTTGAACCAGTCTGTTGTTCCGTGGTCAGTTCTGACTGTTGCTACTTGGTCCTTGTACAGATTCCTCAGGAGAGAGACAAGGTGGCTTGGGATGCCCATACCACCAAGAACTTGCCACAATTTATTATGATCCACACAGTCAAAGGCTTTAGAATAGTCAATGAAGCAGAAATAGATGTTTTTCTGAAACTCCCTGCTTTTCTCCATTATCCAGCGGATATTGGCAATCTGGTCTCTCGTTCCTCTGCCTTTTCTAAACCCAGCTTGAACATCTGGCAACTCTCACTCCATGTATTGCTGGAGTCTCTTTGATTGTAGGGGAACTATAAATCCCAGTAACTAAAACTCCCTAATGTCAAGGTCTATTTCCCCCAGACTCCATCTGTGTTTATATTTGGGCATATTGAGTATTCGTGCCAAGTTTGGTCCAGATCCATCATTGTTTGAGTCCACAGTGCTCTCTGGATGTAGTGAACTACAACTCCCAAACTCAAGGTCAATGCCCACCAAACCCTTCCAGTATTTTCTGTTGGTCATGGAAGTTCTGTGTGTCAAGTTTGGTTCAGTTCCATCATTGGTGGAGTTCAGAATGCTCTTTGATCCCAGGCATGTAGCCTGGGGGGGGAGGGCTTGAGGGGCTTCAGTCCCGTCCCCCCCGAAATTCTCATGGTGGTCTGCAAGAAGGCCTTACTGGTGCATTATTTAAACTGTTATGTTTATTCTTATCATGACCTGATCACCATACTCAATATGCATGGGGGTATTGGGGTAACGATACAAAAGGTTTGCTAGGGTAGACCCTCTTTCACTCAGACTCAGCCCCCCCCCCCCCGAAACAAACTCAGCCCCCACCCCCGAATCGAAATCCTGGCTACGGGCCTGATTGTAGGTTTACTATAAATCCCAGCAACTACAACTCCCACAGGACAAAATCAATACCCTCCCCCAATCCCACCAGTATTTAAATTTGGGTGTATTGGGTATTTGTGCCAAATTTGGTCCAGTGTATGAAAATACATCCTGCATATCAGATATTTACATTACTGTCCATAACAGCAGCAAAATGACAGTTATGAAGTAGCAATGAAACTAATTTTATGGTTGGGAGTCACCCTAACATGAGGAAGCGTATTAAGGGGTCGTGGCATTAGGAAGGTTGAGAACCACTCCCTAGACCATGGCCATATAGCCCGAAAAAACCTACAACCCTATAATAATCCTTCCTTCTTCATCTATATTGAACTGGCAGTGTGGACTCAGATAATCCATTTCAAAGCAGATATTGTGGATTATCTGTCTTGATATCCTGGGTTATATGGCTCTTATATTACATACAATACTACTGATAATATATAATGATATACTGCTTTATTATTGCGTGTATATTTTAAGTTGTAATGTTTTGATTGTGACCCGCTTTGACTCAATGGAGAGATCAAGTGTCAGTGAGAATGAGACACAGAGAGAGAGAGAGAGAGCGCATATCTCTCCCTGGCCACGCCCCCTTCCGCAG